TAGGAAACAAACTTGGGCCGCAATGGTGAGAGAACTAAATCTTAACCACTGGACCACCAGGGCTGGCTCTTCCCAAGCTACCTAATCTAACGCTATAACTCCGTCCCCCGCCCTTCCTATCCCCCTTGCCTACTTCATTCTTCTCCTTAGTACTTAACACTATCTAACATACCACACACCTCCCTATGTTGTTTATTATCTAGGTCCTCTGGCATCCATAAGGTCAGCAAGTTAGTCACTTAGCTCTCTTCTATATCCCCAGTGCCTGGAACAATGCCCGGCATATAGTATGTACTCAATATATATTTGTTGAATGAATGAATCTTGAAAATAGGGAATATGTTATTACGTCCTCAAAAATATTACTATGACCCTAATAAGATAGGAGTGAACAATGACTGGGCTTATTTTAAAAGTGAGAGGTTGCCGGCCGGGTGGTGTAGCAGTTAAGTTTGCATGCTCTGCTTCAGCAGCCTGGGGTTTGCAGGTTTGGATCCCGGTCGCAGACATACCCACCCCTCATCAAGCCATGCTGTGGCAGGCATCCCACAAGTAAAGTAGGAGATGGGTACAGATGTTAGCTCAGGGGTACTCTTCCTCACACACACACTCACACACACACACACACAAAGTGAGCAGTTAAGACACAGTCTGAAATTCCATCACTACCACCCAAGTCCTCATAGAAAGCCACACCTCTCCAGGTGACTGCCTTTCACAATGTGAATAACTTTAAGGAAAGTTCTAGTCAGAGTAAGATGTGTAAAAGTTTGCTTCCAGAAGGAAAGGAAAGGAAGATGTTATGGATGTTCAGACAAGAGAGTCAAACTACAAACTGACCTAGGCAGACTGAAATTTTGGGGTAACAACTAGATGACCTGCTGGGGGGGTCAGGGTGAAGTCACTACCCCAAATGCCCAAGGACAAATAGGGATAAGCAGCAGTTTGTGAGCGAGATCAGTGCTAGCGGGGACCCTTCCCCTTCAGATCTCTGTACCTCTTTGCTTTACAAATGAAGAAACCAAGGAGGGGAGAGACTAAGTCACCCAACATCAGCATCTAGACGCCCAGATGATGGGGAAGCCAGGGCTGAAACCCACGTTGTCAAGCTCCCAGGCCAGTGAGCTTTCAATAGCACAACCACCATGCCACCCACCCTCACAAGCCCTACACAAAATAGCCATACAACAGGCGGATTTCATTTCCCTGGTGCATGTGTCAGTATCCATGCAATGCCAAAAATGATTCCAAAGGAAATTCCTTAGCTAGGAGTCCTACAGAGAACCAGAATAGGACTTGGAAAAGAACTAAATTCTTTCTGGGGTATTTCAGCCAATGGGAATGGAGCCTGGAAATCACTGGTGTTTTCTGTTTGGGGAGATTTCTAAAATAGCTATCTTTGGAGAATGAACAGTGGCTACCATGATGTTGGAAAAATTAAGTCACTGCTTTGACATAAATATGAGGAGAAGAAAAGAAATGACTCTACATATATTAAAATAAACCAGTTCTAACCCTTGAGCTGGGAAGTTAACCCTTACCTTCCATTTTGTTTTCCTAAAGCATTTACCAACAGAACTGAAATCACAAAGAGAAAGAGCCCTTCAGGACTCAAAGGGAAGTCTGCCAATTGAAATGGAAAGGGGAAGAAAGAAGAGGATGAGCATGTGCTCTGTATCAGGCAACTTCACAGGCAGTGTATTATTTATTCCTTACAATAGCCTCCCCCCCCACGGCAGATAGTTCTAGTTCAATTTTGATAAGGAGGAAAATGGGACTCAAGGAGCTTAAGTAACTTGCCTAAGGCCACACAGCTAGTAAGTAGAGGAGTCAGGACTCAAGTGTTTCTTAACTCCAGATTTCAAGATCTTCCCTTACTCCACACTGGACAACGCTGGCCAAGTTCCTCATTTTCTCTAGGCTTCAGTTCATTACCCACAAAATAAGGGCCCTAGATCGAGACTTCTCAAATCTGTCTTACATCTCTGATGGTTTATGGACTTATTATGTTGGGATTGTCCTTAGTTAGCGATCTTCTTGCTTCTCAGGACTCTTGACTCCCAGGAAGAGTTCTCCCATTGGACTGGTCCCCTGGCCTGATGAGTTTGAGGGAACTGATCAAGGAAGCACTTATTACTGATACCACACTGAGGATTTCAGCCTCTGGAACCACAATTCAGTGCCTGAGGGTCTCCTCCTGGCATGAATATCAAGACCAGTGCACAGAAGCTCCAGTGGGAGAGGCCTGAAATCCTCGAATGTCCATGAGGAGTTTATTTATAACACCTAGGGTACACCTAACAAGTTCATCATGTGGCAATGTGTGCAAAGAAAGAACTGTCCCAGAGAAGTCTTTGCCAAGGCAAGGGCTAAGTTGGTGAGCAAGCCTAGAACTCTCCATCTGTAGCAGTTATAAGGGACAATAAGGGAGACAGGGAGGCCTCCATAGATTGCAAACATCTTCCTACAGAGCAGGAAGAGACTTAATGCCTCAGAAAAGAGTTCTGGACTAAAACTAAGTGAGGGTTGGACTCTTTGCTCTGCCACTGCCTGGCAATGGGACCCGGGATAAGTTACTTCCACATTGTAGTCACATTCTAGCAGGCAGTATAGCCATAGACAAGTAATTATAACAAAGTTTGATGAGCAGCTGGGCAAAAGTGGCAGAGCTCAATCTTGGAGCCTCTCAGGGCAGGATAAAGCCATTACAGCAGGCAGAAGGGCAGAAGCAGGAAGGGTTGAGGGAAGGTCAAGGCCCCAGGGTAGGGCATGGGGAGTGAGTAGGGAAGCTGAGCCCTAGTCCTAGAGAATCCAGGGCGAGTCATCAAGGAAGATCTCATGGCTCATTATTACAAGACTGGGTACAAGAGGAGGCCTGCTCCTCAGTGAAAAGCATTATACCAGGCAGCACATGGGGATCACCTGGGAGTCTTAGTCTAATTCAGATGCTTAGGCCCCAGGCCCAGAAATTCTGATTCTATTGGTCTGGGGTGGAGGCTGGGCACCAATATTTCTTTTTTTTCTTTTTTTTTTTGTGAGGAAGATCAGCCCTGAGCTAACATCCATGCTAATCTTCCTCTTTTTGCTGAGGAAGACCAGCTCTGAGCCAACATCTATTGCCAATCCTCCTCCTTTTTTTCCCTTTGTCTCCCCAAAGCCCCAGTAGATAGTTGTATGTCATAGTTGCACATCCTTCTAGTTGCTGTATGTGGGACGTGGCCTCAGCATGGCCGCAGAAGCGGTGCGTCGGTGCGCGCCCGGGATCTGAACCCAGGCCACCAGTAGTGGAGCACACGCACTTAACTGCTAAGCCATGGGGCTGGCCCACCAATATTTCTTTAAAAGCTCCTCAGGAGTTCTAAAGCACAGCCAGGGCTGAGAACTTCTGCAGTAAGCAGAGATTGCCAAGAGATGGGGCCCGTGCCTTTAGTGTCCACTGGATCCCAGCACCCAAATCAGGGCTTGCCAGATAGAAGATGCTCAAGATATGTGGCCTAGATAAAGGAATAAACACTGCCTGAATGAAGTGATGGAAGTCACCAGCTAGTTATTAGAATCAGAGCAAGGGCAGGAGTAAGACTGGCCTTATGCTGAGTCCCCTGGATGACTGACCATGGGCTGCCTACACCTCTCCTGACTAAGACCATGACTGGCCCAGACCTTGAAGCTGAAGCTAGATAAAGCCTTATGTGGCGGCCCCAGAAAGGGGAGAGATGGGATGGGGAGGGTGGGGGTCCAACGGTCCAATACACATCAAGGACTGTGTGGTGAATCTCAAGCACACATTAATGACTACTAGCATGACTGAAGATAGCCTGTCTTTATTAAAGTATCCCATCTTCAAATAAGTGGCCCTCCTCCCTCCACCACTACAGATGGTGGTGACTTTCTATTAAAAAGGGGAGCAGTGTGGGAAGCGAGAGAGGCAGCCAACTTATTAACAGAGGTGGGGTGAATGAGGACCCTCAGAAGCGCAGGGTGGCATCCTACATCCTCCTTTCTGCCTCCCCCACACCCCACTTCATACCCCTACTAACAGAAAGTCTTCTCTCCTTCCACTCCAAACCATATTGCATCCCATTTTAAAGCCACGTAAGATTCTCCCACATACCTATGCACTTCGCTATGGCCAAAGCACTTCACATCTTTAATGCTCCCTCTCTTGTTAATGACCCCCATCCCTGCAGTTCTAGGTGGACAGCTGATCTTTGGTGAGAGGGCCCACGCATGGCCATGTGGGAAAGCCTCCCAACTAGGGTTTCAGCAAAGGGCCCAGGAGGCCAGGCCCCTGTTCCTGTGTTCTGGCCATCAGAGCTGTCAACTTGGTCCCTGAACTCTCGTCCCTGAACTCTGAAGACTCTTCATTATAATGGAAAGTCATTATATTTGTTTCCTAGGGATTTTGTGCTTTGCTTCTAACACTCTACCTTCTAAACCTCCTCTAAACTCACTCCCAGTTCATACACGGGGTAGGGGGAAGCCTAGCTCTATGGGACTTCACCCCGACCACCATCTCTGAGCCAGGCAGACCCAAGAATCAGCCGTAAGTGCAGGAAGGCTGGGAGCCTGGGGAACAGAAGGGACTCTGTTCCCAGCAGCAAAGGGACAGCCTAATGCCCCCACCTCTCTGTGTTCAAGAGGAATCTCTGCTGTGTGCATGGAGGCAGAGCTGTGGATGAGACTCATACACTAGGCAGACGCAAATTTAAGGCTGCAGCTCCAGGTGTGGGAGATAAGGAGGGGTACGGCGTGGAGTTAAGAAAGCAAGGACGAGCTCATCGCGATGGAAAGCCCTTTTGAGAGCACCTAGTCCTGTAATGTTCAAACTTTTTAAAAGCAGTGGAATCTTTTTTCATACAAAACTCTCAAATGGAACTCCATCTAAGTTGGAGCTGTTCTGATTAAAGCAAGGGAGGAGCTAGGAGTTGGGGGTGGCCAGTTTGACCAGGATGGGAAACCCACTCACTCAGCCTACCTTCCAAATACAAAAGTTCCTGAGGCACCTATGCAGAATTCTGGGGCCCTGGGTTTCACTTTGAAAAACCAATGATCTAGCCCAAACCCTTAATTTTATAGATGGAAAAACTTGGTGATTTGTCCAGGGTCCTCACTGAGTAAGTCGCGGCACCAGGGCTAGAACTTAACCCCACTCCCCATTCAGGTCTCTCTGCGTCCCCTCCTACCAGCTGGCTGGCCCCCACAGGCCTTGGGCCCTAAGAGTCCTCCTGGGCCCACTAAGGGATTCTTAGAAGGAGCTGCGGAAGGAGAACTGCAGGTAGATGATCAGCAGCAGGATCGTGGCCCAAAACAAGCACCAGGGAATAGAGAAGAAGTTGCAGCCAGAACCCCCCTCGGCTTGCGGCTTGGTGGGGCTGGGCGCCCGGGAGAAGGTGTAGGTGGTCGCCTCCTCCTCCAGCAGCTTCTCGCTGGGCTTCCAGTGCACGATGCCCTCCTGGCAGGCCTCGCAGAACTCGCCGCGGTGCCGCCGGTTGTCTTGGCGGCTGGCCACGTGGATGCGGTACTGGCCGCCGCGCTCGCCGTAGCACTGCTCGCGCAGGCTGGTAATGAGGTTGTCCACCAGGCTCTCGATGTTCTCCTCCAGCATGCTCGACTCGTCCAGCCGCGCCGTGCCGCACTCGTAGCACAGCTGCTTGAAGACGCGCATGCGCACCGAGCCCGCCCGCTGGGCGCGGTCGAGGTGCATGTGGAAGAGGATGACCAGGTAGGGCGACTGCCAGGTGTGCCAGCACCAGGAGCAGTGGAACCTGCGGGGAGGGGGAGACGTAGGAGGAGAGGATGGAGTGGAGGCGGTGGAAACAGCCCCAGGAAGGGGGTGAGGGGAAGTAGGCAGAGCCTGGAGGTGGAGGCAGAGGGGGGGTGTTTACAGCCCCGTGGGTTCATTAGCTTTCCCCAGGCAGCCACCCAGCCTGTCCCTTGTGTGCCCTGTAGGGCCAGAGCGGGCACTTCAGGATGCACCTGGCATCCAGCGGCCCTCTGCCCTCACCAGCCCACCTCCTCGGTGCTCTACAGAGGCCTCAGCTCTCTTCATCCCAATACCCTCAGGCCTTGCCCTTGGGACTTGGGCTCTGGGCATCTTTCCTCATCTGTAAAATGTGCGTGGTGCACTAGATGAGTCCTTCCTGCTCAGACCTCCTTTGAGTCTGATAGCCTGCACCATATAGGAAACGCATAATCCATCCACCTATCCTTAGCTGTCAACACTGACTGTGAACAGTCTAAACCCAAATCAGGAGAAAATGACACCATCATCACCCCTCAGCCTCCAAGCCAGTGCCAGGGTTAATGCATCCCTAGGCCCAGAGTGAGCTGACTAGAGTCAGCTGGGGATCACATGTCACCAGCCTGGTCTGGAGGGGCCATAAGCCCTCCCCACTCAGCCCCACAAGCCTTCCAAGTCTTCAAGAAGCTCCTGGGACCTGCCAGCAAGTGTCCAGCCCTTTGCGCCCCTCCCGTCAGCTAGTTTAGGGCCTTCATGTTTTCATTTTTGTCTCTTCTCTTTTACTCACATCCTTGGACGACTGTTTCCGCTCTCCCAGGCTAGACTACAAAACTTGGACTGGAAAATATCAGAACTGGAGGGGCCTTAAAAATCACCTTATTAAGCCTTGGTTCTACTCTGAGGCACAGAATAAGAAAGCAATCCATGTACACACAGCTAGTTAGAGGCAGAGCCAGGACCCAGCACATAACAGGTGCCCAGTAGATGTTTCTTGAATTGAATTGAATGGACTGAACCAGGGCAGGAAGGCAGGGCTTGCTTCTGGCCCCCAGGCTGCACCACTGAGCCTCCCTGTCATATGTCCCAAAGGTAAGTCTTTACATAATAGACCTGTGGACAAGGGTGCTGGAAAGTCAGCTCAGATGTTATTGTACATACACATCATCTAGGGACCTTGTTGAAATGTAGATTCTGATTCAGTAGGTCTAGAATGGGGCCCAAGGTTCTGCATCTTTAACAAGTTTCAGGTGATGCTGATGCTGCTGCTCCATGAACCACAAGGCAAGGATCTAGGCTAACCCCTCCTTTTGCAAACAGGAAAAGTGAGGTCCAAGAAGGTAACTGAATTACTCAAGAACCATGGAGCTAATAGTAAAGCCAGTTTCCAGTACACCTCATGTGTACAGTATTTTATACTAAGTCAAGCTGAATTAAATAGATTGAAACTGAACTGTCCCAGGACCAGAGCATAGATCTTTTGACCTCCAATGGACCTCAAGCCCCCTTCTCTTAGTTTTCAACCATTTTTAAGAGATTATTAAAATCTGAAAATATGTAAAATGTCACTTTAGAACTAATAAATATATTCCACCTCTTTTCCAGAAGGGGAAACTATGACTCAGAGAAGGAAAGTTACACAGGTGCTCAGTGGAAGAGCTGGAATCAAACTCGGGTGTCCCAACTCCCAGTTAGGGACTCTTGCTCTGCCTCCCAGTCTACACCAGCCCAACAGTGAGACTGACCCTAAGCATCTGGGTTCTCCATGTCTCTGTCTCTTCTTGGAAGGTGCCCCAGGGGCTGCCTGCCGGGCCCCTACTTACTGGGCTACTCACCTGCCGGAGGCGTGCAATTCCAAGTACTGCTTCCAGCCAGGGGCCAGCACGTTGTGCTTGAGGTTCGGATCCATGATTAGGTCCCAGCTGTCAGCCGGCTTTGCCTCCTCCATCTTCTCATAGAAGACTTTCTTCCATTCATCTGTGGTCACACTTTTACACATGGTCTTGTCAGAGGCGAGGGTGGGCAAGCTCCACCTGAGTGAGAACGCGGAGAGTGAGGGCAGGTGCAGGGCAGGGCAGCGCAGTCTCCACGGTCTAAAAATCCTCATCAGACAGGACTGGAAGGAAGCAGGACCCAGCTCCCTCCTTTGTCCGCAGTGGAACCTGTTTCCACGGCAACCAGGCAGGGTGCCAAGAGACAGCCTGGGGAGGAGGGAGTCTCCGAAGGGGTGTTTCAGGGCGATGAACTGAGGCTGTGGAGGCAGGGTTTGTTGGTCTAAGTACCCAAGACAGGGAGGGGGTCCTGAAGGAAGCTGAGCTTCAGACCAACTCACTCTGGCCTGCAAAGGGCATGCAGAGGCAAGGACCTGGGAGCTGGCTCAGATTCACCTTCTTGCCCCTGAAGGCATCATCAGCATCTGGCTGCTATGGTAACCATGATACCTCAGGGAACCAAAGAGAAATAAGGGTTGGGAAGATGTAGATCTGTTAATAGATGCAGCAGTAATAATAAACTCTCTCTCTGCACCCCCACCCATCTTGTGACTAGCACTTTGCCGTTGACAAAAATGATTGGACGTCTCTTTACCCACTATTGTTATTGCCGCTGCACAGATCAGGAGCCTGGATCAGGAGCCTGGGACTCAACAGTTTGTATCCAAATCCAAGCTGTTGAGGCCATACGAATTCAGTAATTCATTCATTTCAAACTTACCCATGTGCCAGGCTCTGTGACAGGTGGTTGTAACTGGGTATGTGCCCAATAATCAGAACGCAACAGGATCCATGCTGTGACAGCCATGTACAAGCCACCTGTGCACAAAGGTGGGAGCCATTGCATCACCTGGCAGGAGCAGAAAAGATGATTTTCAACTTGATTATAGAAAAGGAACACGATATCCCTGTGAAAAACAGCCTTTACTATAGGTGCCTCTCCTGCTATTTTTTAATAAATTATTTTTCTTTTGTAAAACTCATACAGGTTTATTATAGAAAAATTGGAAAATATAGATAAAATCAGGCAAAAGTAAGACTCTTCCTAACACCCCTGCTCAAGATAATCACTGTTAATATTATGATATACACACCCTGCCTGCCATTTTTCTGTACGTGTGTGTATATGTGTGTATATGCATGTATGTATATATATCTACACACATTCTACATACCACACTGTGAACTATTTTTTAAATAACAATATATCATGAATATTTTCCTAGGTCATTAATATTCCAACCTGTACTCTGGCTATATTCTATTATCAGGCTGGGCAAAATTTATTTAGCCTGGCTCTATTTTGGGGCATTAAGAGTCTTTTTCAATCTCTCACAATTACATACTTGCTACCTATTTGTATAAAACTTATTGATGAAGCTCATGGACCTGCATTCCAGGCACCGGAGAGGATGCTTCCTGCAGTTGGAAAACACATCTCTTGACTCTACTCTCTGCAGAAGCTTGGTGTGCTAGAAGAATCTGAGCAGTCTCCTCAACAAGTATGACTTATGGACAGCCTACAAATCCTGAAGTTTAGGGATGAAAAAGAAGGGCCTAAATCTCCCGTCTTATACTGGAGACCATCTTCCTGGTGCTCCTCCTGCCTCTGCATGAATGCTTGATGCCTTGACATACTTTATTTTAGCCTCAGTGTATTCGTCTTGGCAATGGGATAATAAGGAGAGAATATCTGTAGTGATTAAAAGCAGGGTCTCCAGAATCACTTGCCTGGGTTCTTTTTTTTTGGAATTGCTTTATATCCTCATAAGTAGCTATTCTAATCTATTTAATGTGTATCATTTCATTCTGACAAAACGTGTTGAAGTTGTATGTGAATGTATCCTTAATTTGCACAGTAACAGCAATCACTATGTAGCACTTACTAGATATCAGGCATTGTCCTAAGTGCTTTATACATATTAATTTATTTCATCCTAATAACACCCTCTGTAGGTAGGTAATAGCAGCAGCAGCTCCATTTTGCAAATGTGTAAGCGAAAGCAGAGAGGTTAGATAACTTGCCCAAGATTCAACAGCTAATAATCAGTGGAACTGGGATTTGAACCAAGATGACAGTCTTCAGAGCCCCAACTTTAATCACTACACTGCTCAGCATGGAATCTAGAACAAAACATTTGCTAAATAAATGTCTTTCTACCTTCTCACTACTGGCTATGGCCATTCCAGACTCTGAGAATTGAGATTCATATCCTTTCAGCAAATGGTTCACTAGGCCACTCTGAGGGCACAGTCCCGGGGAAAAAGAGTGAAGTGTATTCAACCCACCAAGCTCCCTGTTACTCCTGTGGATGCCACCCCTGCTGCTGAACTTAATGGACAAACAGTGTCCATAGACCCCTGAAGCTAAAAGAGAAATCAGCTTGAAATCTACCAAAGAAAATATAGTGCATAAAGCCATCTGTAGGTACACCATTCCTGTGAAGCTGTAAGCATTTTATGACAGGCACCCTGGTTCAGTTGAAGGAGCACTGAGCTGAAAGTCAGGAGATATAAATATATATCCCAGCTCTGCTACTGGCTGGCTTTGTGATCTTGGGCAAGTCATTTCTCTTCTCTTGGCCTCACTTTGTCCATCTGTTCAATAAAGAATTAGAGTAGATAGCAATGCTCAGGTCCCCTCTGACTGTAGCCATATATGGTCTCAAAGAGCTTTGTGCTTGGAAACTTGAATCCTTGGAGGGCAGGAGGTAGAAGGGAGGCCACTGGATGGAGGAAGGAAGGTTCTAATGAGGCATTGCAGGTAGTGCCTGGAGTCGGGGTCTGTCTCCTTGGGGGCTGCTCCATAGCTGAGGAGCTCTGGGGAGGTGTCACTCCACTAGCCCTGTACTGGACACAGTAAGAAGGACAGAAATTAAATCAGGGCCACTGGATGTTAACATAGGAAAGGATTTTTAAGTTCATTAAACTTCTATCCTTCAAGTTAGTACTCTTGCCTCTGAATTAAGGCAGTCGATGCCCAATGAAGTAAACTGACTTAACCAGCCTCAGAGGTGTGATGGGAGCTGTCTCAGGTTGCAGCCATGGGCCAAAGTGAGAATGGAGGCCAAGGACATTCCCAGAAAGTATGTGAAACTAAGAGAAGCTTATGGAACTTGCCCTGGAGCCAAAGTGTATTACCCAACATGAGGAATGAATTCTCTAGAAGTATCTTGCAGTTGTTACTACAATAAACATTATGATGAAAAACAAGAACACAGAAGGTAAGAATGACAATAGTTGTGTGTGTGTGTGTGTGTGTGTGTGCGCGCGCATATGTGTGTGTAACCAGCTGATGCAATCCCCATTGGCACAAATTATGTTTAATTTAGAACCTGAGCTTGCTACGCAGAGACCAGTGTAACACATCCTTCTGTATAGCAGAATGTTTTCTCTGATAAAATAGTATTTGTATCAAGGCAAATAACCCTATGGTATTGAAACTTGCTCTCTATCAAATGAGCTCTGATGCCATGAAATCCACAATTTAGACATTGACAGTCTAGACATCTTTAAAGCCAATGGCCTCACCTTGGCCAGTCTTTTAAAGTTTGTGATCATAATTTAAATCCATAAAATTGTTTAAAACTAAATCTCTAACTATTATTATCCTGTACATACGCCTGAGATTTGGAAATGATAATAAAACACCAAAGTGCAGGAAAGAAAAAAAAAAAGAAAGAAAGAAAGAAACCAAATCCCCAACTAGAAAATAGAGTAGTGAAAAGAAGAGACAAGAAAGAAAACCATGTCTCTAATTTGTTGTTTGGCTCAATAGGAAATATTTTATAAAGCTTATTATTCTATTATTGCTTATCAAAATGTTACAAAAATAAACATTGTCACTCTTGTAATGATGCACTAATGAAAAGTGATTCTCAACCACGGGCAATTCCATACCCCTAAGACGCATTTGGGAAAGGGGAGGGGGGTGTTTGAGGGCTGGGTCAATCACTAGAAGTTTCTACTGGCACTCAGTGCCCAGGGACTAAGGATCTAAATGTGCCTGACAGTTCCACAACAAGGAATTTTCCTTTGCAGAATGTTCCACCCTTGCTGAACCCAAGAGTAAGCCCCTCCATAATCTGTTGGTTTATTGGTATAAAGAAAGAGTCCAGGTAGTAGTCTCAACTTCCAATTTACTGGAACCATTGTTTTGTTCCCTGGTGGAAACATTCCTCCATTGGGAACCAAGACCTCTAAACCAGCTGAGTCCAAAGTCATCAGGTCAGTAAGCAAAGAATGAAACAAAAAACAAAACAAAAAATCACTAGTGTACCATTAGGGGTAATTTTGAGAAAATTTTTCCACCTCTTAATTCTTGGAGCTGGGAAATAAATCTTGGTTGCTAATTCAGAGCATATGCCACATCCTGGAGAACATTACCCAGACCTGCAAGGTGCTATCCCCTAGATGGGTCTGTAACTGACTCTTCCAAAGGCCAATGTTACTGTTCAATCAGGACAGCTGCTTCAGGGTGAGGAGGGATATGGTAAGACGAATGAATTCCATGAGCAGGAGCCTATTGCCAGATTTCATTTGCTTTAAAATGAGTTCCCGGTCAGAAGCAATGTTATAGGAAATATCACAATGGTAGATAAGGTATTCTCTAAGTCCAGTGCTGCATGTCCAAATGCCTATAACAGAGATCAACACTCAACCTTGAGTGGGGCATGATTCCATGGAGAATCAGCCAGCCACCTGGTGGCAGTTTGATTATATTGGACCATTTCCATCCAGGAAGGGGCAAAGCTTTGTTCTCACTGGAATAGACAATTACCATGGATATGGGTTTGCCTTCCTTCTCCACAATGCTGCTGCATTTGTGGACTTTCAGAATGCCTTATTCACTATTCTAGTACTCCTCCACTTAAGCCTCTCAACTTAACTGCTTAGGCTTTCTCACTGTATGGTAGTTGGTTTCCAAGAAGGAGCATTTCAAGAAGGAAATGAAAGCTGCCAGTCCTCTTAAGGCTGGGATCAGAAATCTCAGAACATCACTCCCATCATATTCTATTGGTCAAAGCAATCACAGGGCCAGATTTAAGGGGAAAGGAAATAAACTTCACCTCTTGATGGGGAAGTGGCATGTGCCTACAGGGAGGGAAGAAATTGGTGGTGGCCATCTGTGGAGACTATCTACCACAGTGCTCAATCATTTTTTCTTATCCTCCAAAAAGCTTAGTGCCTTGAGA